TGAACCATTGGCTCCACACACTTGAACGGCCGAGGAGATCGGCCAGAGTTCGGATAACCTTGTCGACCATGTCCAAGTCTGGGTCAGGCAGACGCGGCGTCCTTCACAACCAAAGCTTCCTTGCGCACAGTCTATAGAAACAAATTAGTAAACAATAAAAAACAAAGAAGCGAGAACATTGCATAATGACTCTATACCGGTGGGTGATGGAGTGGGAGGACACAAGGTGAGGGATGTGCTCGCGGAGCCACGCCACGAGACCGCTCTCGCACCCCACCATGACGGAAGCGCCATCGGTGCTGATTCCCGCGATGCGGTTGAGTTCGATGCCGGCGCCTTGAAGATGAGTGAGGAGCACGGAGAGCAGGGAGGCGGCGTCGCACTTCTTGACAGTCAGCAACGAGAAGAATTCGTTGACGACGCGGCAATGGCGCAGGAACGTGAGGTACACTATCAGGTGCTTCCCTCTGGTACGATCAGTGCTCTCGTCAAACTGATGCCGATGAACACGGACGACTGAATGTGCTGCATCTGGGTCCATTGAAGAAGAGTTGCCAAGCATTGGACCATCGGTTGAAAGCCGTACCTGCACGCAGAAGAGGATTAATTGTTACAAGGTTCCAACAGGGCGGAGAAATGGACTGTACTCGCGGGTACTTACCGAGTGAGGTAAACACCATAAGACTGGAGCGGTAGGTCCGGGGTGTCCTGCTCAGCCATAAAGCGACATAGCCGAGGAAACATGCTGATGGGAGCATCGACCTTACAGAGAAACTCAACCGCGCGGAGCAGTCACACGACCCGCCTCCCCTTGACATCCGACGACAAGTAGTCGTCAATCCTCTTCTGCCCATCGACGATGTCCTCGGCAATCTTCAGTTGGGCCTCCATAGCTTCCTTGTGTGCAGAGTAGTGTTCGTGTATGCGCATGGTCTGTGTCTGCAGATCTCGACCACCATCGCCCGAAGAGCTGTACTTGGTGGTCTCCTTGCCATACCTTATGCAGACATTGCACTTGAGAGCAGGGTAGCCGTCTTTTGTTTTGGTTAGCAGTAGCCAAGGAAAGAAAGGCATCCATGAAGTTTTGTACTTCGCTTCAGCGACGAGGTATTTCTGCTCAATCAATTCCTTCTTACTCAGCTTTGGCGGTGGCGGTTCATCAACGACAGGGACTGCACTAGGTGATGGCGGCGCGGACGGGCGGCGGAGCCTACCTCCGATCAGGATTTGGGATTGGGTGTACTTGCCCGTCCGTTGCTTCTTCGCAGACAAAATCGTGGACGCGCAGGGCACGCTGTAGCGTACTGTGGTGGCGGTGACGTAGTTAACGGGCAGAGTCAGGCCTCTGCTGGATGAGGCGACGGCTGGCGGAGGGACATATGGTGGTGGCGTGAGGGGCGCGAACGGAGGTGGGTTTAGAGCAGGCTGGGTTTCCTCCACTGCAGAGGGAACCACAACAGCTACGATGGGAGGAGAACCTAACGAGCGCAGTATGTCTAACGCGCAGCGAGGAACCTCTGCAGGCTCGTTACTATGAGGTTGTTCATTGGCGCTGGGCTGATCGTCCTCTTCTGCATGAGTGCTCGTCATGGCTGTTGACGGGGTCGACAAACAAGAACCTACGTGAGGAGGACAACTCCGAAACACAGATTGAGGAGGAAGCTTTACAAACCCCGTCTAGATGCCTAAGTGCGCATGAGAGGAGAGGGAGAGATGAGAGGGACGAAGAAGAAGGGCACCATCAAGCCCGAGGAGCGTGTTTCTTGGTTAACCCTCGTTAGCTTTTGGACGACAACCCCTTCCAAACCCACGCCGCCATGCCAAACATGAGCTGACATTTCGAACCATGTGTTGGCATAGACTGTGGCCAATCACTGTCGGTCGGACAATTTTGCACATGCCAGCGAGGGCAAGTTTCTCGCATTACCAGCCTTTGCTGGCTTCCAACACACCCACGTTGAGGTCCTTAGCAGGCACGCGTGGCACGATGCATGAAGCACTGAGCGGCTAAGTCCCTATTGAGGGCAGCATCACACTCACACAAGGGGCGGGAATCCTGCCAAGTGCATATACTTCACGTGAGACGTGCGGGGGTGAAATGATGGCAGGCAGCATATGATGTAGTGGAGGAAATCTCATGGAAAGTACAACGTGCATGTATGTCGCATTCAGAGTCCATACGCGATGTAGTCTGAAAACTCAGCATTCGCACAACGACTACTCTGAAAACTTCAAGATCCAAAATCATACAACTCTGAAGGGTTCAGTTCAGTATCCAGAAAAGCCTAAGTCTGAAAAATCAGGAGTGGCAGAAAAATGGGTCTGAAATTTCAGACAATCAGACTAAAATAGTCTGATAAAATCAGCCCTGGCGGCTAGGGCTAGGACTAGAGCGGAAGCGTGGGTGGGCGGGGAGGACCTAACCTAGCGCGTGATACCATCTCAGAGTAAAAATGTTGACTAGAATGAGGCATACATGTTGGTTTTGTTCAAATGTTTGTACCCTCCAAGAGCATGCACCTATCTAGCCTATTATAACATCTACAAATATGTTTGACAACTGTCCCCTGGGCTCGTGTGCGACACTCGCAGGTGAGCGCTTAACAAAATTGTTGATTTTGCTGGTTGTAAAACGGCAGGTTCAACAACATTATTGATTCTGATACAACTTTGTAGGAATACGCCCTCACATAGAATTGTCTTTGTATCACTAGTATGGGTTGAGGTGATTGACCCCAGCGGAACCGAACAGAGCCGGCCTTCAATCATTCCCCCTTATCCATAGGTTATAGGGCTCACCGACTGTAAGGAAATTCCCTTTTCCTTACTGGGCTCGGCTACAGCACGTACGCCCTCAACTCTAAGAAGCCCAGGCTCGGCCAACTTCTTCGGTCCCGAACCACTTCGCGAACCCAAACCTCGATGCGCAGCGCTTCCGTGGCTTTCGCCAACCAAATCGCCCCAACCTGTTCGCGTGGTTCTCGGCTAGCTCTGTTCGTGCCTATAAATGCCTAGGCCCTCATTTGTATCGACACTCTTGAATCACGACTCCTTTATTACACTACCTGATATTACTCTGATTAATTTATAACAGCTGGTATCAGAGCCCCGTTCCTGCCCGCTTAGTCTTCCGTAGAGTAGTCCGATTATATCGGGAGAGGACCCAACAGAATAGAGGGTTGGCCAGCGGCTGGTAGGTGAGCTCGTTAAAGCTGCTCCAACTAAACGTGTGTGCACCCTCAGATCTGTCAGGTAAAATTTCCAGCATGACTAGCACGCCGGAAACCTCTGCCCATTGTAGTGTTAGGAATGTGACTCAGGAGGAGTTTGACGAGTTGCAAGCCAGGGCGGCTACAGTGACGACACTGTAGGCCCAGCTTCAACAACTCACGGATAAGTTCGAGTCGTTGTAAAGCGAAGTTCAGACGCTGCGCAACGAAAACTCGTCGCTTCGTCAGACGCGGGGTGAAACGCGTCAGGGGCGGCTTATTACCCGAGACGAAGATGCTGCGAGCGAAGCGAGGGCGTCGGCGACACCTGAAGCAGTTGAAGAATTCCACAGCGAGCCGCAGGCAGCCATTAAAATCAAGCCTCCGATGCCCCCACCGTTCAACCCGACCGACAGGACAACGACAGTGAGTGGGTGGATGTTCACCATGGAAATCTTCTTCACGGCAGTAGGTATTAATGACAATGCCTCACGTGTCAACTTGGCTGTGTCGCTGCTGAGGGGATCGGCACTCGACTGGTGGCGCATGCATCTCAACGAGGGAGGAGCTCCAGCAGGGAATCAACGGGCGGCAGATTGGGAGATGAGTTCATCAACGGCGAAGGCAGAACCAATATTTGGATCGGCCACGATCCGCACGTGGAAAGCGTGGGGCGAGGCGTTGAAGGGCAGATTCGAGCACATATCCATGCGCGAAAATGCTCGCACAAAGCTTCGGATGTGAAGACAGTTGGGCTCTGTCCAAGAATACACGGCGTCGTTTCTGGCAATCTGCAACCCAATCGGAGGGATCAGCGAGGACGAAAAAATTGATCGCTACGTGGGCGGACTCAAGCCAGAGATTCAGCAAGAAATCGTCCTGCGAGCCCCGATGACCTTCAACGAGATCTTTCGCATAGCAGACGCGTTGGACGCACGACGTGGACTCACGAGAGCGGGTTTCCGGGAGGGAAATCGCTTTCGAGGCCAGCCCCAATACACATCAATCAACGGCGTGGACGTGTTTGCAGCCCGAGTATTTTTGGGGAACTGCTACCACTGCAACCAGCCGGGTCACATGGTGAGGGATTGCCCGCAGCTGAAGAAGAACTTACCTAACGATAAGAAGCAGTCGAGAAATGGAGATCGTCAGTAGCAGATGGGCCACCTACTGACTTGACTGCGTCGCCCAAACGCCACCACCCCCATCAGGTTATAGTGCCGATTTGGGCTATCGACCATTCCTGGCTGAATAATGGGGGTGAACCGGTTGATCACCCTATGCTGGTCGAAGGGAGAGTTGGCGCCACTCGCATAAAAATATTCGTTGATGGCGGGGCGAGCCACAGTTTGATGGATGTGACGAAGGCAAAAAAACCGCGGCTTCAACTGGAGCGCTGCATGCCGGAAATCGACGCGAGATAGGTCGACGGCACACCACTGGCAATTCAGGAGCGAGTACCTCACGTAATAGTTACACGCGGCAAAATTTTCAGCTTCACGACGAAGATGCCGGCGACAACGTTGGACGGCTGCGATATGCTGTTGGGACGGGATTAGCTGCGCGAATACAACCCGAGCATTGACTAGCGGACGGGTGACTGTCGCATCAAATGGAGTGGCGAGTGGCGACGACTTCCGAAGTGGAGCAGTCAAGATTCCGCGACATCGACGGTCAGCGCGGTTACCATCAAGTGAGCTATGATTTACGGGGCACAAATGTACGCCGTCCGATGGATCGCATCCACGGCTGTCGACGCACCAGCCGACATCGACAAACTCTGCACAGCTGTTCCGAACGATTTGGCAACATTGATTCGCAAGCACACCGACATTTTTCCAGACGACCTACCGGCGGGTTTGCCCCCGGAGCGAGACCACGACCACACAATCGAGTTGGAGCCGAGTGCGCAACCGACTATTCGGACTCAATGGAGGCTGACTGAGCCAGAGCTCGATGAACTTCGACACCAGCTGGACTACCTAGTCGAGAAAGGTTTCGTTCGCCCCAGCACTTCACCGTTCGCAGCTCCGATCCTGTTCACCCCGAAGAAAGATGGCGGTCTACGAATGTGCATCGACTACCGCGCCTTGAATCGAGTTACCATCAAGTCCCGCTATCCTATCCCACGTGCCGACGAACTCATCGACCAACTTCGTGGAGCCAAGTTCTTTTCGAAAATTGACCTGCGAGGCGGTTACCATCAAATCCGCGTGCACGAAGTTGACTGCTTTAAGACAGCGTTCCGAACCCGGTACGGGAGTTATGAGTACACGGTTATGCCTTTTGGCTTAACAAATGCGCCTTTGATGTTCCAGTTAACAATGAACGAAGTTTTCGGCCGCTGCTGGATAAATGCGTCATCGTGTACCTCGACGATTTCCTAATCTTCAGTACTATCCGAGAACAACATTTGAAGGATTTGGAAGCAGTCTTCTCTATCCTGCAGCAGCACTGACTCCTCACCAAGGGATCTAAGTGCAAGTTTCTGAAACAAGAACTGGAGTTTTTGGAACACGTTATTTCCGTGGATGGAGTTAAAATCGACCCTAAGAAGATCGCGACCATACAAGACTGGACGCCGCCAACTAATCTCCGCGAACTTCAAAGTTTCCTGGGGTTTGTGAATTACGTTCGCCGGTACATTCCGAACATGGCGGGGGTAACTTCCCCTCTCACGGATCTCCGGAAGAAAGGCAAGTTTTATGAGTGGGGGGGAGAGCAGCAGGCAAGTTTTATGAGTGGGGGGAGAGCTGCGTTCGAACAGCTCAAACTTTTCCTGACTACACCTCCAGTTCTTCGAATTGCAGATCCTCATCGTCCGTTCGAGCTCATCACCGACGCTAGCGACCTGGCTGTTGGCACAGTACTGTTACAAGACTTCGGCGAAGGACTTCAACCCATCGCCTATGAGTTTCGAAAGCTGAATCCGGCCGAGCGAGATCATCCTGTCCACGAAAAGGAGTTACTCGCCATCGTGCACGCTTTCAAGGTCTGGCGCTGCTACCTGACGGGCGCTGACGTGACAGTTTGAACAGACCATAAATCGTTACAGTTCATCCCTGCCCAACCGACACTAAATCCTCGACAGATTCGCTGGCTCGATTACCTCGAGTCGAACTTCCACTACAGAGTCACCTACAAACGGGGGGTTAGCAACATCGCCGACGCACTGACCCGCCCTTCAGTCCACATCGCCGCAGTCCTAATTACCCAAGCTAATCCGCTGCTAACTGGCCTATTCACCCACGGATACAGTACCGATCCCTTCTTCACCACTAACAGTCATCCCCAACTAACGGTCAAGCAAGGGGCCTATCACCTAAAATCTGGTACCAATCGGATTTGGGTTCCCGCCTACCGTACCCTACGCGAGCTACTGATACAGGAGGCATGCGACTCGAATTTCTCGGGTCACTACGGCATCGACAAAACTGCCAAATTACTGAGCCGTGATTATTATTGGCCGGACTTGCCGACAGACGTGCAGCAGTACGTCACCTCATGCGCCACGTGTCAACGCATGAAGTCGTCACGGCTTTGACCTGCCAGATTACTGCAGCCACTCGAGCCACCCAGCCGACCCTGGCAACAAGTGACAATGGATTTCGTCACTGGCCTGCCCGCTGGTTCAAGCGGTAACGACGCGATTCTCGTCGTTGTTGACCGGTTGACCAAGATGGCCCACTTCGCCGCCTCCAAGACGACAATCACTGCCGAGCAGACAGCGAAACCGTTCCTCACGAACATCGTGCGGCTACACGGTATTCCTTCGGTAATCGTCAGCGATCGCGACCCACGGTTCACGTCCAACTTCTGGACAAAAACCTGGCAGCAGTACGGCACACGTTTGCATCTGTCCACGACGTACCACCCACAATCGGACGGCCAGACTGAACGTACAAATCAGACGATCGAGCAGCTGATTCGCACAACGTGCACAGACTCGGCCCAATGGGAAGACTCCCTTCCCTTGATCGAGTTTGCGTACAACAACGCCCCATCAACCACGACTACTCAGTCCCCGTTCTTCCTTAATTACGGGATAGACTCGACAACCCCTCTATCGCCACCGATAGAAAATCCGGCACCAAGGTCGCAGCAGTTCGTCGAAAATCTCTGACAATCCCAGCAACAAGCCGCCGATGCCATCCTAAAAGCAAACCAACGGGCTAAGGAGCAAGCTGACCGACGACGCTGAGAGTTAACTCTTGCCCCTGGGCAATTGGTCCTGCTCGACACAAGAAATTTGGGGATTCCCCTCCCAAATAAACTACGACCAAGATTTTGCGGCCCATTTCGCATCCTCCGCATGGTGACACCCGTCACCGCCCAGCTGCAACTGCCGGTCGACTCGCGAATTCATGACTCGTTCCACGTCAGTCTCCTGCGACCATTCGTCCCGAGTACAACTAATATCGAACGTCAACGCATCAATCCTACGGTCAACCCAGTACCTGAGCCGACGATCGAGCCATCGAAGATTCTCGCTCATCGCGTACGAGGTCATCGTGATACGGCACCCGTTGATTTTCTTGTACGATGGGTCGATCGCACGACCGGCGACGATCTTTGGGTCCCCGCAGCTATGCTCGGCGAACACAACGTCGTCCGGGACTATTTACACCAACGACGTGTCCCGGATGTGGGTAGTCTCATCCCGGAAGGGGGGGGTGGTGTAAGGAAATTCCCTTTTCCTTTTTCGGCTCGACTACAGCGCGTACGCCCTCGACTTTCGGAAGTCCAGGCTCGGCCAACTTCTTCGGTCCCGAACCACTTCGCGAACCCAAACCTCGATGCGCAGCGCTTCCGTGGCTTTCACCAACCGAATCGCCCCAACCTGTTCGCGTGGTTCTCGGCTAGCTATGTTCGTGCCTATAAATGCCTAAGCCCTCATTTGTATCGACACTCTTGAATCACGACTCCTTTATTACACTACCTGATATTACTCTCATTAATTCATGACACCGACCGTCGATCTGTCCGCCGTATTGAGCATCTCCGGGGGTAAACCTCGTGCCGCATTGCGCGCCAAAGCCAGCGCTTCGCCATATGCTACCATGTGAGGCGATGAGCCATAAGCCTGGCAGTCAACCTGATCAAAGATCACCACACGGGGTTTCCTTGGCACTCTGGCGACTCACGACGCGCAGATCCCCGCTCAGACGAATTTCCCGTCCAGAAGCCAACCAATAATTCCAACAATCCCGCACCGCACAGCGGACCCCTTGCCCACCGTTTGCTAGAGCCACTTCCCGTCTATATCTGACGGCGGTGGTCGGCTCGATCATAATAAATTCTGGAGCTAGTGTCTGACACTAGTGTAATACGGGAACACCCGACGTGGGAAAAAATTGCCTCGGGTCTTCCCGAGCCTGACGGCTGTTTGACTGGAAACTCACATCTAGCTGACAAAATTAGCAGCAGACGAGTGGCACGAAACCTTATCCGACACTCGTTCGCCAGTCTCCGACTCCCAATGCCATACATTCACAGTTAGATTTCGCTTTCGTTACCACTTTCGCGTGACCGTCAGAATCACAAGACCCAAAGTTGGGTCTGCAAACCCCGCGGCTCCTTTGGCTGCGGGTCAGACTTGGGTAGACCCGAGGTGCGGAATCAACTCTAAGTAGGCTGACTCAGTTTCCCGTCCCTGCTGTGTTGGCAGATGCTTGTCTCAGACGCGTTCTGGGAAGGTTTTTCCCGTCCGTCAGAAATCGAGCTGTTCCAACAGGCAGCTCGTCAACGGTGGAGTTGACGGAACCCTCGTCTCCTCCAGCCACACAGGTTCATGCAAGTACAGTTTCGGCTGGTTTCTGGCTGTCAGAGAGCTAGTTCCTCATTCTCTTCCCTGACACCCAACAGAAACACTGTTTCTACACGTATTCCTCCAGCACTTTCACCTGATTTTTTCCGTGAAATCCATGTTTTGTGCTTTCTGGAGTAACACTGAGCTCTGCTATTGCATGTTAGTGTCTTAGACCTTCATCCGACTTAGGAGAGAGCGATTGGGCTGAAGTTTGTACATTTTCAGAGCTAGGGTTATTTGCTGTTCGCCATGGTTGCGAAGTGTCTAGAAGTTACGATAGGTTCAACGGCGAGTTTAAAGGAGAATAAAACGGTGAATAAGATCGACCCGTACGCAGTTCTTTGCTATAACGGAGTCGAGCGCCGCACCGACGTCGAGTGCGGTGCAGCAGGTCGAGCAGTATGGAACCACCGCTTCAACTTCCTTCTTCCAGAGCGAGAGCAAGATTATCCTCCAGTGAGTTTCGACACTTCAGAACTTACAGCATGAGCTTCTTCCAGAGCGAGAGCAATAATATCCTCCATAGCGGTTTCTACACTACACACCTTTCAGTTCCCCTGCTCTTTTTCTTTCTTTTCGTACTATTCCCCGGTTTTAAATGTCTGTATAACCCTCCATCAATTATCGTCCCGCCTGCAGGAGATGGACGTTCACATATGGGACAAGGTGAACGGCCAGGACAAGTACATGGGTTTCTGCAAGGTGCACTTGGAGCAGGTCTACCTCCGTCAATCCATGGACGCCGTCTGGCCGGTACACCAACGTAACGGGAAACTTCTCGGTCACATCAGATTTCATTTCTCAATTCTTGTGGAAGACGTGAACGGCGTGGGTTCTCTTCCGTCCGCTCCTCTGCCTTCCGCTCCTCCGGAGACTCCTGTTCCTCTTCTGGAGCATCCCCGAGTTAACCGGAGGACTAACATTAGCTCAGGAAAAGTACCGGTTGCAGCGGCTTCTCTTCAGGAAGCTTCGAATAAAGAGGATGCCAGCAGGAGCAACGCCTTTGGGATGAATATTAAAGGCAAAGCTGGTGGTTCATCAGAGGCTGCTGCTGCTGTTTCAAACGACGCTCTGGAGGTTCTCCTGCTGGCCATGCGCCAGGCTCTTGTCCAGCAACAGCAACAGCAACCACAGAATAGCCAATCCGCTGACAAGCAGCAGCACGCTCCGAAGATTTACCAACCTCAGCCGAAGCGTGTTAGCCCTGCTTCCGCAGCACCCCCTGCTGCTGTGCCGTCGTCCCCCATGGGCCCTCCTTCCCCTAACTCATTGAAATTCTCTCCGTCCAAAGCGTTCAAGAAGGTTCCCGCTTCTGCTAGACATGCCGCCCGCCCGGCAAGTTGTAACGGCGCTGGAAACGCAACCGACTGCACTGACGGCCGCCCGTCAGCCCCTGACGTCGACTCTCGCGACAGCGAAACGGCCCTCGCTTCGTCCGCCGCTCAGCGGTTCCTCAATAACGGCGCAGCGGGTTTTGCACCAGCCAAGCCTCTTCCGCCTCTTAGCGTGATCGGCGGCGGCGATGGCGCTAACGACAGGCCAGCTGCCTCAGAGGCAGCGTCGGCTTTCCTACCCGTGCAGCAGCGATCAGCAGCAGGAGCTTCTTCCGGTGGCACCGCGTTCGCGTCTGCTCTTACTGGTTTTGCTCCTACTGCGTCCTATCTTGCTGCTACTCCTGCTGCTTCTGCTGCTGCCGGAGGTAATAAATCTGACGGCCAACCGCCCTCTACTCCTGATGCTCTGGCTGCTGATGTCCTTGCGAAGGGCTGGGACCTCTCTGCCATCGCTTCGCTGACGTCAGCTGTGCTGTCCGCGTCTGGGAAGGGAACACCACGGGGCAACAAGTCTACGTCTTTTGCTGCTGCAGCGGAAACCAGGGCTGGTGCTGCGTCTGCTGCTGCTATTCAGCGTGGTGCTTCTGGCGGTGCTCGTTCAGGCAGTGGCGGGAACCGTCAGGCGATTTTGAACCAGGAGTTGATAGCTGAGGCTCTCTGCATGGCTCTGCTGGGCGAAACGGGCAGGGCGGAACCAGCAAGGAAGCAGGGAAAGAGCGTTGCCCCTGGCCCGGGTGGCGGTGCTGGTGCTGGTTTGACTGGCTCGAAGCGAAGCTGGGAGGCGCAGGAGGAGAAGCGGGAGGAGGCGGGGTTAGGAGGCAGTGGAGCGGAGGATGTGGGTGGTGAGGGTCTCAAGCGGCACCGCGTTGCATAACTGCGGTGCGGAGCATAGCACTTGTTTTCAAGGTCTTCATCGATGCCATTCAGTGGGCTACTAAGAGTGAAGCAGGCAGGATGGAAGCAAGGTGCGGTTTTGAAGGCTCCCCAAGTGTGCTCCATGATGGTAGGCAGCGGTGCTGAACCTGCAGGTTACTGCCACCTAATAAACGGCGAGGCACAATGACTAGGATGTTGCACAATGACTAGGATGCTGACGCCACCAGCCGTGCTGTCTGGCTCTAATAAGTGCAGTGACTTGCTTGCTAGTCTGGTAGTGTATAAATTATCGAATATGTCTGACACTGGTGCATCTAATTTTGAACCTCTAGGCTGTAGCCATGAGATGTGTTTGTCAGTTTCCAGCTGGTGGTCTAGCTATGAGATGTGTTGGTCCATCCGTGGTGGTCATGTAGCAGCTCTGCTATGTAGCAACATGTTCAGGGTGGTACAGAATGTCCCATCCCATGTTATTGAAGTAACCAAAAATACTCCACACATATGTCAAGGCCATCCTACTGAGTCGTGTATGTGAAGAGTTCTCATAGCAAGTAGCGCATCCATCCATACTGGCTTTGGGATGTTGAAATTCTTCATGTAGAAACTATTATCCACCTTCCTTGGCCCATACTGCTGCTGCTTGCAGTTAATGAACCTGGGCCGGCGCTTATAGATAAGCGACGTTTTAGGCACTTCAAAATTGCCCGCTCTCCAGTTCTTGAACTGTAGCTTTGGCACGTCCTGTAATGTGACGTTGACGAAATAATGCTGGTTCAAAAGCGGCATCGCGGGCGATCGCTCGCAATAGCGATACTCCATCGGCTTGTTGCTCCCGTTGACTATTATTATATCGAGGTAGTTGTTAGTAGCCAATCCGCTGCACTTGCCGGTCTCCCAGGGAAGATAAGGGTTGGAAATGTTCCCCTTCATGTTACAGTACACTCCGTTTACATGAGTCGTGTTGCACACTGTAGTGAACCAGGGCCAGCGCTGGAGGAAGGGGAGCATGGGATAAGTGTCGGGAACCAGGGGAGTATGTGAGTGCAGGAAACCAGGGAAGTATATTTGAGAGAACGTGCGTGAGACAGAGAGTGTGTGTGTGCACATGTGTGTGGGTGGAAAGGGGGGGAGGGGGGGGAGG